CTTATTGGCCTTAAAAGTTTATATATCCTTTGTACTCATGGATTGCAAGATTATATCTCTTTTTCTGCAGAAAAAGAATATCTTTTTGTCCTCCACTATGATTTACATTTCAATCATATATCTAAGATCGACCAAGAAGGATATGAATCACTTGTGTGGGAACGACATCACAAACGATGTTGTCTTCATAGTTACCAGAACATAAACAGACAAGGTATTACACTGGAATTATTGTTATCAATCAGTATTACCTTCAATGGTTATGAATATGGTTTTCTTCAAAGTTTAAGGTGCCCTACAATTGAGGCAAACACTATATTTATGCAACTTCCACTATCAATGATAAGCTTTTTTGGTCTTAGATCCACATAGGACAAGAGTTTGAAATATTGTAGTATGATGTCAATCATCTTCCTCAACTTTAGATGTTGCAAGAATACGCCTGACTACAAACACAAAAAAAGCAATACGACAACCATCATCATCAAGAAGCATCCTTGTCCCTATCTGTTGTGTCTGCTTCTTCTTCTTCTTCCATTCCAATATGTAAATTATTTTCCTTAGGACCCTGATAACTCATATGGTTTGGTGTTCCACACCTGAAGTAAACTATTTGCTTAGCTCTAGTATCAGGAGTGTTGGAAGCTGATTTTGCAACAATAGCTCGGTTGGAAGCTCATCACATAAAACCTACTCACATTATAATTTGCTCTAGCATTTCTTTTAGAGATTGATTGTCCGGTCGGAAAACCCAAATTTCCTTGAAGTTGGGCAATTCAAGTAATCTTCTATGCATATAGCAACATGGTAACTTTGGGTTATGATTGTAGGAAGTCACCGGATTAACTCTCTTTTAATATCAGCTTTTAATCCTGCTCTGAAGTGAGATGCTGCTTGGCTATCATATTTTACCAACTGACTTCAGCTCTTCAACTCTTCAAATTTCTCTTAAATTCAGTGACCTAAATGTGCCTTAGTCAAAACGTCGGCTTGATCACAAATCTTGTCAAAATACTTGGGAGGTAAATATTTTTCGTGAAGTGGTTTTCATCTCATCCCATGTTTCAATTGTCGGTTGCTTTCTTCTTGTCAGATGCTCATCAACACCGTACCGCAATATTTTTGCGAGTTCATCCAATTTTCTTTTGAAAAATCTAACCTTTTGTGCATCTGACATATCATATTAGTTGAATTATTCTTCCATGAACCAAGTCAATCAAGAAAGAAATTGAGATATCTTCATCCATCAAATCAAGAGGATTCAATTTTCACTTTCTTGATAACATCTCTAGCAATATCTTTAACATGTCTCATGTCAAGAGCAGTGGCTTGTGCAACTTGCAGGTTTTGGATTGGTGAGGCTACTAGTGTACGTAAGATAAATTGCATTAATCGCCTTTTGCATTTTCCGAAGATGTTATCAGTGTCTACCTTGTATGCGCATTCAATTCAGAGTCAGCATTGTTGAAGTTGAAATTTCTTGAGCTAGTGTTGAATTGGTCAATTTAAGGCAAGGACCAGTCAATGTCAAATTCGACGTTCAATGAAGTAAGAACAAGTCAAACAAACACTCACGGCTGGATGTATGTGTGGTTCGCATGTCATCTTGTGGTCAGTCGACTACAAAGGGGGTTGCAGATAAAACATTAACAAGAGATGCGACTGCACAGTGGTGATTGCTGATTTGGGTATTTTGAGGCTGGTAGTAAGGTTGATGTCATTTGCTGCCCAGGGGTGGCTGGTGAATCACCTTGCAACCATTTGGAGCGTTTAGAGTTTGTGATCTTTTGAGGTTTTTTCTTTTTACCAAACTGGTCTGGGACAGTTTGGGTTTGCGATTTTAGTTTTGGGTGTAGAATTCTTTTAACTAGTGCCAACTAATATGGGACAAATTATTAGGAATTTGGGAAAAACATGGACATCACAACCAGAGTTCTGAAGTATCACGCCTAAACTTTGATTGAATCGCACAATCAGGTATTGAGAAATTCTCAAACTATTCCATTGAGCAACTAAATTTGATCTTCAAGGAGATCAAAACAGTATTTTTAGAGTGTCAAGAAATCCTTTACTGAATAGGATTAGATTAAGAAATACTATTTCTAATAAAAATAGGATTAGAATAAGAAATGTTAATAGTCATCAAATTAGAAATATTGTTCTTACAAAGATAGAAAAGCAAAATACAAACAAACTCGGAAACATAAAAATAACCTGAAGAATATAATTCCTAAATAATAAATTACTACCATTCTTATGCACCATCATTTGGCACACGATATCTACCAGTACGCACAAGCCCATATCAGCAAAACTAGTCAATGAATTCAGTACAGAAAGTGTATTATTTTCTTGATCCAAATTATCAAAAATGCTAAGTGCATCAATGCGGCGAGGGAGAAACTTACAAGACCTATTTTCCTTGTTTATCTTGTTTGGCCTATTTTCCTTTTCCCTTTCTTTTTCTGTAGTGTAATTCCATGCAACCTCAGTGTCTCAATTGCTTTCTATTACTCGACTGCTCCCCAACCCCCCTCCCAACTACATTTCTGTCATGCCCGGAAAACACAAAAATAAACTAAATGATCTAAGAATCCACATCATAAACTAAGTTATCTTCTAATTCCCCTCCACCTATCGTTCAAGAAAGGAAAACACCCCCCATCTCACGGAAGTTACATTAGGCCATTCGCCAATATCAACAGATTACTACATATTGTCCCTAACTCTGTCACTTACATGGAAAATGTATCCTTCAGAAATCACAGGATACTCTATATTTCCTCTCAAATAAGATGCAGAACACAAATAAATGGCATCAAAACATTTAATCCAAATACATAACAACAATCCTTTTAAATGCTTATTCCTTAAAGAAATAGCTTTAATGGAACAAAGCATGTGAAATCTAGTTATTTGTGATACTTGTGCGATAATTATCCCAAAAAAAGTTCAGGCTGCTTACCCAACTAGTATAGCAGGTGAAGGAAGAACAAAAAGAGTCGGCCTAAGTCTAAGGCACAGCTGTTGTTCTGACTCTGAGCAACAGATTTCTTGGTTTAATTTCCTCTGAGAAGCCTCATCAACTTTGCCACCATCCATCACATTTGACACTGAAAATGAGACCAACTGTTCAACATAGTGGAACTTCAGAGGACCTCACTTTAGATACAGAGGTCTAGACATACCTCTGAGGCAAGATGAGGCACTGGCAGAGGATTGAGATGGGCTTATTGGTTCTGTAGCCGACAGAGTCGCAATACTTGAAGAATCTCTGCATTCCGTTAGAGTAGACTCAGCAGAAGATCCATCTGTAGCAGTTCCTGCATCACCTGATTGACAATGGCCTTTGCACCAATCCATGACAGATAATGGCCCCACCCCACCCCCCCCAAATGCAGACTTCAGGGCTGCTTTGATTTCAGATTGCAGCAAACTCATTACAGATGATGGATGAATCTGGAAACAAAAATTGAGAATCCACTCGCATAAGATCCTTATACGATAAATTCCCAATCATATGAAATGTGATAATCACATGTCATAGAAGAGATATTTTGTGACTGCAGAAGCATCTACTTTATCATGAAAAGATATTGTGTTGTAGTACAAGAGAAATTTATAGAGTTCAAATAAGCTGTTTCTTGTAATCAATATTCTTGCGCTTGGGTCACATTCTTGGGGTACCTTTCCAGTAACTCTTTTATGAAGAAAAGATAATGACATGTCAATAATCTGTTCC